GCCACCAACACCCCAGGTCCTTTCCAGCCTGCAGCGCTGCATTGCACTCACTCTGGTCGCAGCGGGGGCCGGTGTACCCAGCCTCGCAGATGCACTGCCCCGTCTCCGCGTTGCAGCTCCCGTCCCCGTTGCTGCAGTTGCAGGCGTGGGTGCAGTCGGGACCCCAGCGCCCGGCGTCGCAGGCTGAAACACAGCAGGGGATGGGGGTCCTGAGCCCTGCCCAGTCTCTCTGGTGGGCAATGGTGCAGCAAAGGCACTGCCCACTCCTCGGGTGTTATCTCCACCCCACTTGGGCAGAAGGACAGACACAGCCGTAGGTCAGAAAACTTACAGGAAATCCAGAGAGGTGGGGAAAGCGGGGGCTGTGTTAGCACATTTTTGGGCCAGCGAGCCCACCGCAGAAAGGCAAGCAGCACCGGCAGGACAGAGCAGAGAAGCAGGAAGGATTTCAGAGGGTTTTCTAGCAGAGGCACAGCACAAAGAGGTCAGTGAAGGAAACCACAGCGCAGCCCTGCACAGGTCGGTGTCTTTATGGGTAACACAAAGCAGTGCCATACCTCTCTGGCAGTTGTACCCCGTCCAGCCGGGCGCGCAGCTGCAGGTCCCCATCACTGGATGGCAATGTCCCTCGTTGCTGCAGCTGCAGCTCTGCTGGCAGCCAAGGCCCAACCAGCCCGGGGGACACACTGCGGAGACAGGGACCGACTGCAGAGCCACCACCAGCACCGATGCTCCTCGACCGAGCATCGCGGGGCTTGGGGTTTTACATTCCATCCTGCTGCTGCAAAGTCACCGCTGAGAGGATGGGACTGGAGGGATCTCGAGGGAAGAAGCCAGCCCGTGCCCCAAAATGTGGGCAATGGAGGGGTGTGTGGTAAGCCCTGCTCTGAGATCCCAAGTGATGGGATGAGAGGAAATGGCCTCAAGTTGTGCCAGGGGAGGGTTAGATTGGATTTGAGGGAAATTTCTCCCCAAAAGGGTTATCAGGGACTGGAGGGGGCTGCGCAGGGCTGTGGTAGCACCACCATCCCTGGGGGTATTTAAAAGACAGGAGGTGAGGTGCTGAGGGACACGGTTTAGTAGTGGTCAGGTTATGGTTGGACTCAATGATCTTAAAGTTCTTCTCCACCCAAATGATGCTGTGATGAGTGGCAGTGCCTGGATGCTCTACTCGCTGGAGCAGGTACCAGGGGCAACCGAAATAGCCCTTGTTCCAGGTCAGAGCGAGGGACTGAGGACGGGTGGCACTCGGGGTAAGGGACTCAGGGTGGGTGGCACTCAGGGGTGAGGGACCCAGGGCAGCACTCACCGTCCTGGCAGCGGTGGCCGGTGAAGCCGGGTGG